AATGGATGTCAAATGAAAGAAGTTTAACAAATATATTTTTGATGCGTTTGAGGGTTGCCCCAGTTTAAAAGGTTAAATTAAAATTATGCAATGAATTAAATGAATGAATTAATGAACGATGGCTATCAATGGAAATGGGTTTAAAATCCTTTATTTCAGAACTATATTTAGGAGGGTTGCCACGTATTTAAAAATAAATTTCAACTTAATTCATTAGTTACATGAAATATTTATAATAATGTCATACGAATAATATTTTAGGAAATTTTAGTTCGGAACAAATTTTTGAGAGGGCTGCCGCTTAAAAAATCAAATTTAACTTAATTCATCAGTTAATTGAAATATGTATAACAATGCCAGATGACAAAAAGATTTTAGTTTGATAAATGTTTTAAAGGGGTTGCCACCTGTTTGAAAAGTCGAATTTCCTTTACTTATACACAAGCTGCATAAATGTAATATCGAAATATTAGTGTCAAACGAGTTTTAAGAAAACTTAAGTATGATAATATTTTTCAGTAGAGCTGCCATCTATTTTTTTGAAGGTCGTCACATCTGCAATGTTATTTCGAATTTCCAATATGAGAAGTCAAATTACAGAACACCGATTCTGCATAGATTTCCAATAACGCTTTATTTTTTGAAGTTAGAACTCTTTAGTGGTACAGGGAGATTTAGAATTTTATGAAATGAAAACCGACTCCACGCGGGACCTCTCGTTACTCAGAAATAGTTTAGATGAATCATTAAGAATATTTTTTCAGGTTTTTGATTAGGGTTTCACCTGTTTAAAAAGTTAAATTACATTTTTGGCGTTTTAACGCCGTGCGGGTTCACTAGTTCTTAATATTACTCTTAATATTAATTACTAAGCTTAATCTTAATCTTCGCCTCTTTCTAATCTTATTCTTAGTCCTTAACTTAATCTTAGTCTTTATTTCGATCTTAATCTCAATCGCAATCTTAATTTTAGTTATTTACAATCAGGTTCCTAATTTTGGACTTATCCATAAGATAGTTAAATAAATTTTTGACATTTTAATATAGCAACCGCTTTAGCAATATTCAGAGTTCCTTCACCAAGGAAACGAGTCCGAATATTATTATAAGTCGGACAAAAGTCAATAAAGTGATGTATGCTGTCCGAGACGCCCGTATTGCACACTGGGCACATTCTTATAAGCTGTGAAATGGCTACACTGGGGGCGAGACAGTAGATATGGTCATAGTTTGACCGATATTCAGGAAAACATGCATGGCTCATATACGTACATATAAGTAGTACATATGGACTTGCATGGCTTTTATTAGACAGCTGTGTTTAAGATTTATCGGGACTACTTTCCAATTTATGCCTTGGCCAGTGCCCTGAAATGCAAGCACTTCAGTACCAATTGTCAGTGTGTGGTGGACACATTTACCACCTTGGTGAGGCCGAAACCTACCTTAAAACTCTGCCGTTTTCTGGGTCACGGCACCCGCTTGCAATGCAACTACACATTGAACGATTTCTGGTTCTACCTGCATTTAGGTGGTAAACCACAGCCACCACGATACTCCCCGAATCGGCCGTACCCATGAACAGACCAGAGTAATGCTCGCTCACTCACCCTGACCAACTTAACTGGCTTGACTCCCACTAGCACGACCTACACGATTACATCACACAACATTCTTCTCCATTTCAACTTGCACAAATCCATACCATCTTGCTCGTTTTGTTTGTCTCACCGTCTTACTCCTCTCGCTCGCCACGCTAGCCCATCCGTAGGCAAAATAGAGGTTTTCCGCAGATTCCACCAATTTCCCACGGTTTTCCACCAATTTTTCACCATTTTCCAACATTTCATTCACCTTCATTTTTACCATTTACCTAGTCATGCTTGTCCTGCCAGTGCCTGTCTTGCCTATCCCACCGACGAACACACCCCGGGGGCATCTGCTGCCCCTGGTACCAGTTTAAGTCTATGGTAAGACTTTCGAAAGCCGCGAAAAATCACCTGATAACTCCCTCATGGCTCTAAAAAATACTACAATAAAAGTAAAAAAAAAAATTACCCAGCCACTGGCTGTTTTCTCGAAGAAAAACTGTAAAAAGTCGCTTATGATAGCCGTTTACGATTCGTTTTCGAGTACTTTTTAACCGACTTCCCAAAAGGAGGAGGTTATCAGTTCATCGGAATATTATTTTTTTTTATGTATGTATGTTACCGCATAACTTTGGACCACGTCAACCGATTTCGATAATTCTTGCATCGGAAAGACAGTGTCTCAGAGGTGGTCCCATACGAAACTGGTTTAGATCCGATCATCGGATCATGAGATATATATATATATATTTTTATATGAGAATTGAAGTCGGTGTTTTTTTGCTAAAAATCACTTGTTCGTTTTAAATTGTGGAGCGGCTACGAACAGTCGTAAACGGATCGAAAAAGCATTCGTATGCGAATATTACACTGTGCGGCAGCCAATTTTACACAAGAAAAAATCAATATGTTCACAAAACTGGGGACCTCGATTTTTTTAAAAGGACTTTGAAATATCTAGAATATGATTGCATAAAAAACTTTTTCAAAATATTCGGTGCATTGTATAATAACAATATAGGTATCAATTAAAAGAATAAATTCTGTAGAATAGAGAAAAAATAATTTTTGGGTGCTCCAGGACGAATAAGTATCGAAAATGTATTTTTAAAACTTTATCCTTGAATATCCTTAGAAATTTCAAAAATTTATTCCATACCCATATCCATATTCCATACCATATCCTCGAATTTCGTCCTTCTAACTTTATTAGTTTTAGATAAAAAAAAATTACACTTCTCTTTATAAGATATTGATAGTCACAATATACATAAATGAAGATACTGGAATCATTATTATGGAACCATGTATGCGCTCTAAACGAACAAACTGATCGTATGATGTACGGTTTAAATACTTTAATTGTTTTGTATACAAGGGCGTAGCCAGCCTTTCACCTAGGGGGAGCAGGAGTTTATATAGAGGGAAAAAATGTTTTTAATTAAATTTTTTTTTGTGTGCATATATAAATAGAAATTTTTGGGTTCAAAATAGTATGCGTTTTCTGGTGTCCTTTACAACGATACAAATTTTTTAAAAATCTGTTTGTATTTTTTTGTTTAAAATATTTTTTTATAAAAAAAGGTACTTTTTTGCTTTTAAGTCTTTTTTCTCAAATTTTTATAGATGAAGAATACAAACATGCATACCAGAAGAAATGGGTAATCGGTTAGTAATTTTTTTATTAAAATTTTTTTTTATAAAAAACGTATTTTTTCGTTTTAAATGTTTTTTCACAAATCCTTACATACAAAGTATACAACATCAGATGGAAGGAGGTTCAATCGCGTTTAAAACGATACCAATTTTTTAAAAATCACTTTAAAATTGTTTGAAATATAAGGTTATATATAAATAAGAGCAAAAGGCTGGCTACGTCTATATTTTTAGTTTTTTTAATTATTTGCATATAATAATAAAAAATATTTTTTTACCCAAGGTTCTCTTTCGAACTTCGCAGGCCCATATCTCGATTTCGGAGGCTAACTGCGAAAAACGGAGAAATTACTTTTTTACCCATGACTCAATCTCTTTAAAAAAAAATTGGTTTGGGCCAATACCCAGCCGAGTGCTGTGCAGTGTAATGATTCCAGTATCTTCATTTATGTATATTGTAACTATCAAGAGAAGTATAAATAATTTTTTTATATAAAACTAAGAAAGCTAGAAGGACGAAATTCGAGGATGTGGTAGTTTACACATATTAGTCCTTGACATATATTTTTATCAAAAATAAATATTGGAAATTTCCAAGGATATTCAAGGATAAAATTTTAAAAGGACATTTCCAAAACTTATTCGTCCTGGTGCACCAAAAAATTAAGTTTTTTTCAATTCTACAGAATTTTTGCTTTTAATTGATACCCTTATTGTTACTCTACAATGCACCAAATCTTTTAAAGAATTTTTTTATGCAATCATATCCTAGAAATTTCAAAGTCCTTTAAAAAAAANTAATAATAAAAAATATTTTTTTACCCAAGGTTCTCTTTCGAACTTCGCAGGCCCATATCTCGATTTCGGAGGCTAACTGCGAAAAACGGAGAAATTACTTTTTTACCCATGACTCAATCTCTTTAAAAAAAAATTGGTTTGGGCCAATACCCAGCCGAGTGCTGTGCAGTGTAATGATTCCAGTATCTTCATTTATGTATATTGTAACTATCAAGAGAAGTATAAATAATTTTTTTATATAAAACTAAGAAAGCTAGAAGGACGAAATTCGAGGATGTGGTAGTTTACACATATTAGTCCTTGACATATATTTTTATCAAAAATAAATATTGGAAATTTCCAAGGATATTCAAGGATAAAATTTTAAAAGGACATTTCCAAAACTTATTCGTCCTGGTGCACCAAAAAATTAAGTTTTTTTCAATTCTACAGAATTTTTGCTTTTAATTGATACCCTTATTGTTACTCTACAATGCACCAAATCTTTTAAAGAATTTTTTTATGCAATCATATCCTAGAAATTTCAAAGTCCTTTAAAAAAAAATCCTGACGTCCGAGAGAAAAATTAAAAACGCAGGTATACTATATTTGGCACCTAGTCTTATGAATATATTGATTTTTTCGTGTGATTTAAAATTTTTTGGTTATTGTCGCACGGTGTTATATATTATAAAATATTGTGGTTCGAGAAAAATTTCCAACAAAATGAAAACTTTTTCTTATGCTGACAAAGTACTACAAGCCTCTTTTTATAAAATTTTTTGTTTCATCATTTACGAGCCTTTCTCAAACTTTTTACCGATCGAGAATCCCTTGTAAAATATACATGTTGGCTGGGCACTAATACAAGCTGTATGGGGTTCGGGATTATCTATACATATATATAACTATTTAATACAAATACATACTATGTACATACATACTATACTCAACAATTTTTCTCGTTATACCTTACAGAGCCAGCAAGTTAAAACACAATTGAAAAATGTCGGCATTTAAAAAATATGTGGTTCACATGCAATACTTCAGAATCGTTTAGAATAAGTACTTTGTGATATTAAAAAAATATAGAAAGTTGTTGCCTGAGTATCTCAACAATATAAAATCAAGTACTGTATACGTTGACTCACACCAAAAAATGCATTTTACGAATAATAATGAAATGAACTCAAATACGATTGCAAGTGCAGAATGGAAAGCAAAACCGATAGCCGCACATCCAACTGTTTTTAATGCCACATCAGCAAGGGGCTCAGAAACAATAAAATTGTCAACATCGTCAGCTGACAGTTGCGCCTCATCAACCGACTCTGGTGTAATTATCACCGACAACAACAGAACATGCAGCAACGACAGCAACAACTACAAAAACATACAAGGCAATGTAAGCTTCAACACCAACACCAACGGTGTAGACATCAATGGCACAAGTGGCAATACAGCGAAAGATAACAGCAACAATATCGACAACAGCGTCGATGATAAGCGAAGACGCAGTGCAGAAACTCCGAAATCAAACAACAATATTACAATAAACAAAAAAATTGATAACAATTGCATAAACATTGAAAATATCATAAATGTGCGACGCCAACGAAACTCGTCAAGCGGTAGCAGTAGAAAATCTTCGAAGAATTGCTCACCAGCAGTGTCGATACGTAGCAATACAATATCGATTATTTCGATCGATGAAAATGCCATTGACTCGAGTGTCGTCGACTCAGATTCGGACTTTGAGGGTCAAAATAGTAGCTATGTTGTCAAGAAGCTGGGCCAACAAACGACCTACGAGCCAAATAATCCCAATTTGCCGAATATAAATAAAGGTATGCAAGTGCTAAGTCAGACGATAAGCCCAGGTGCAATACCCCCCACGTCTGGTCCGCTATCTGAGACGATACTCAATGGTGGTGCACTCTCACCACCGATGCTAGCGCCACCTATGGCGCCCAATTCGGCCCAAATTGGTAGCATAGCACTCTCAAATTCTACAGATGTTACCTTTGGCGACAAGCATTTCTACGAAGGACCCGTGACGATACAACAGTTTCTAATTGATAGTCGTGATAAATGGAAAAATGGCGAAGAGGGTGGAAGTGATAATCCAAACTTCACTGCTGATGACAAAGTGTCCGATCCTGGTAAGTGGTGTTAAGTAAAATTAAATTTGACTGTAGATGTTACGCATGTAGGTACTAAATTTATGTAGTTAAGTAGCCTTGAGCGGGTTGAGTCATACAAAAATATTCCATTTGACTACAAAATTCTTGTTTTCCATTAGCGATAGTTTAATTTTGGCAAAGATTTTTCGTTATCCGATTAAACTGTTGCAATTCTCGACAGTTTCATAAAATACCAAGTTCTCAGTAGTTTCGTGTCAGTTCATGATGTCTTAAGCGCTGTTGAGAAAGTGCAAGTCAAGTTACGCAAACTTCAGTTTCTCAAAAACTGAGCGATTTAAAAGAAATTGAAGTGAAGCGATTTCAACTCGTCATCCTCCAAAGAGCTGCGCCGGCTTAGATCTAGATGTGCTCCTTGAGACTCACCGCGTGCATTCCAAATTGGTCAATGCCCTAGCAAAACCTCTACAAAGAGTGGGAGTAGCAGCCTTTGGCGGCTTAGGAAACTCACTCCACCGCTTACGGCCTACCCTGGTCACGAAAGAGCTGTAATGGTTTTCGGCTAGAGCTCACCAAGCTGTTATAAGGTCGAATTCTCTAATAGCAGTCCGCAGACAGTCAAAGGTATCCCCATCCTATTTTGCTTAGTAAGACCACCTCAACGGGGTGCTCTTCCTTGTCAGCTCGTCACTGTAGTCTGGTACCCGTAAAAGTCGAATTATGGTATCAGAGTCGGTTTGTACCTACCTTATTTTCATGAAATGCGCCGTCTTGTATACTTTCTTACTTTTCAAAATTATGAAGGCTTTTTGACGTCGCTTTTATCATTCTTCCTCTTCTTCCACCAGATCCAATGGCTTTGCTTCCTTATCCAGCTTGGAAAAGGCAGAACAGACTTCGTGGTTAACGCTACCGTACGTTTTTGTAAAGAATTGTGCCTGAGCGGTTCAGTTATGCAGCTATTATTATCTTTTCCAGCATCAGATTAATGAAATCGCATAAAATGGAGTCGCCCTGTCGGAAACCCCGTTTGGTAGCAAACGGCACGGAAAGGTTTTTCCCAATTCTAACGGAGCTGGTGGTATTGCTCAACGTCATTATACACAGCCATATCAGTTTCGCGGGGATGCCCAATTCAGACAACGCGGCGAAAGACAACTCCTATCGAAAGCGGCTTTGAAGTCGACAAATAGGTGGTGAGTGTCGATCCTTTTCTCGCGGGTCTTTACCAAGATTTGACATATTGTGAATACCTGGTGTATGGTGGATTTTCTAGGCCCAAAGCCACATTGACAAGGTCTAATCAGTTCGTTGACGGTGGGCTTCAGTCTTTCACACAATACACTCGATAAGACCTCGTAACCTATGCTAAGAAGGCTAATCCCGCAGTAGTTGGCGCCTTTCTTGTGGATTGGGCAGATCACAATTCAATTCCAGTCATCGGACATGCATTCATGTGACCATATTCTGCATGAGAGTTAATGCATGCACCTTATAATCTCTTCGCCTCCGTACTTGAATAAATAGCTCAGCTGACAGTTTGTACGCTCCACCAGCTTTGTTGTTTTCAAGCGCGCCTTTGCTATTCGTACCACGTCATAGTCAGGCGGTGGGTTATCGACTCCATTTTTATCGTTTGGGGGCTCGAGTTCGTCTTCTCCACAGCTTTCAGTACTGCTACCATTCAGTAGGGTACTGTCCTTGAGCTTACCTCACAACAGCTGCAGCTGCTGGCGGCAGATATCTAGATGTGATATTGTTCCAACAAAAAAGGCGGTTTATTAGACATTTCTTTTTCAAAGTACTTTATACCTTAAATGGTGTACATTTTTTCCATTAATTAGAAAACTTAATTTACATACTTGTTTTGTGAGCTGCTCATTTATGACTGCCTGTACCCGCACATTTTGTTTTGGCTGTTATTTTTGTCTTCCGTAATTGGTTTTTATACCCGAGCGCACTTGTGCACAAGGGTATTATAACTTTGTTCACATAACGGTTGTTTGTAACAGGCAAAACGAATCGAGATAGATATAGACAAATGTATACATAAATGATCAGAATGAAAAGAGAAATCGATTAAGCGGTGACTGTCTGTCCGTCCGTC